CAGAGTTGCGCCCCTTAGATACGCAGTCCTTGAATAACGATTTTTCAATTTCATATGTGACGTAACTCTGTTCCTTTGACAGTACCGTGATCGAGGTGCCGGCAGTAGCCTGTGGTTAAGGTTGTAGCTCGTCACGTTTCAGACCTCTGTTCGATTCTCCACACGGGTATAATGTGTAAAGCACATTCAATCCCCCGAACAATCTAGTGATTGACATTAGAAGCGTCAATCTACGCAATCGGGAGACGATGACATACATCTACCAAATCAGAGAGCCTGACCACCCGATCCAGTTACTCGCCTCTAACGAGAAACATGGGTTACTTAAGAATATTTCTAACCCGGCTCAGCCCAAATAACGAATGTTTTATCAACTTGACTACCCCAGCGAAATGGGAAAGTCTGTCTCACAGTCCTTGAACCACACTATTTCCCCTTCCGTCCAAGCCTTTCTGCATGCAAAAGCCATAAATGGAGCAAGTCTAGATTTACTCAGATTCTGAATCTCAGGTCGTTCGCTTTCAAGTCAAATGATAGTTGTTTCTATGACAATTATATATCTTCAAAGACCAAGCGTCAATTTACGTGGATGTCTAGCCACGAGTGTGACATTGAACTGTAGAGAGCGACTGCAATGTGTTGCGTGTTGTTTAGGCCTACCAGAGAAAACTTTCCCACTGTGCAGAAAAACGCAGAAAAGCCCACATTAATCGTGGAAATAGCAACATAAACATATAGTTACCTCGCTACCGAAACAGTAAAACGGCAACGAAAGACTATGAAACTGCAACATCACCGAACTTTGACCTCTACTGCGCATGCACGTTATACGATCCGAGCTTCTTTAAAATTTCCGAGCAACCGCGCAGAAAAAGTATTGAATATGTTGAAATAATTGCTGTCAATCATTTCTTCGAGTGGAAAGTAAACTAAACAAGTGTGCACACAAGTATGATGGGACCAATGCCAAATGTCAACATGCGGTGGAGACTTCCTCTTCCATGTGCGCATGCGCAAAATCTTCTTTTCTTGATCCAGTTTAGCGATTTAAAGTTGCCGTTTTTACTGTTTCAGTAGCGAGGTATTATGTTTATGTTGTTATTTCCACGATTAATGTGGGCTTTTCTGCGTTTTTCTGCACAGTGGAAAAATTTTCTTTGGTAGGCCTGTTAATGCCGCACTAAGCAATGCTTCAGCTCTATTACGGCGGGGCTGTGGAGTATGATTGTGGTTAAAGCGTTCGCTCGTCACGCCGAAGACCCGGGTTCCACAAGTACCATATTTTAACGTCTTTTTGGTATGACGCGGTCGGGGATCGAACCCGCGACCTTCCGCTCTCCGGCGGACGCTCTAACCACTACACCACGATTTACAGATTTATAATTGGACATGTTCGATCTCTCTCTACATTACGTCATTATCCGTATATTTGCTACAGGCAAAAAACTAGCATCAAATATCTTGAAAGGTCTGAGCAGGGTATATCACCAAACATTCTCTGATAGGAATATCGTGCCATAACAGTCTTACCAGCCTTAGAATCTATATACTGCTTTGTTCTGGGGAAGCCAGCCAAGGGGAAAACGCATCACCAAAATACCTACAGAAGGAAACAGTCTCCCACTTTAACCGTTAAAATATGACTGTTCATATTTAGGGCCCAGAATGTCTGAAGACGATGACTAGAGGTTTGCTGAGATTAACTCTCACAGAGGTTGTTACTTAGCCTTTACTCAGTCTATGTGAATTTATTTCAGTCAGTATTATTCGTATAATAACACTGGGAGCCTAAGAATAATCACTTAAACTGGTCTTTGCTAGACTGAAAAAGAATCTGCGAAACTCTACAATGCTTAAGGTCCCTGAAATGAAACTACCTTATTTCAAAATACACATCTACAAAATATATAACACAAAATTTAAAAAAAGCACCCCCAGAAGATTTCTTTTACATGAGACAGACAGATAGAGTGAGTGAGTGAGTGAGTGGGTGATTTTAGTTTTACGCATTCGAGCTACATGTATATGGCGGCGGTCTGTAAATAATCGAGTCTGCGCCAGACAATCCAGTGATCAACAGCATGAGCAGCGATCTACGCAATTGGGATACGATGACATGTGTCAACCAAGTAAGCGAGCCTGACCACCCGATCCCGTTAGTCGCCTAGTTTCATGGGTTACTGAAGATCAATATTCTACCCGGAACCCGGATCTTCACGATAGGGATAGATAGATAGATAGATAGATAGATAGATAGATAGATAGATAGATAGATAGATATTGATTGATGTTTTGAAATATGCAACAACATCAGACCACTTGACCACTTCATGTTATATATCTAAATTGTGTGATATCTAAATTTAAGTTTAATTCATCCTTCATGTTTGCATGCACATCATTATGTAATGCCGTATTGTTGAAATAACTGATGAAGTTGAAATCTTATATCAAACCATGCTAATCTTCTTGACAACAACTTAACAAAAGCAGTGGTCAAGGTGTGTCGAAGCAGTCTCGGGAGCAATATTGCTGCATAATATATTGTAAATCAACTGAGATATTCCAGAAAGCCAGTAAGGGTTGAAGTTAACTGACAAGTATGGGTCGTCGCACCAATACTGAGACAAGATGCATTTCCGCGTCGGGTTATTATTTTACAGACGCTTCTGTCAGTTGATGTGTTTCACTGACGCAGATCCAGGGTTGAGGGTGATCAAGTGTTCTCATTCGCTCTACAGAGTTGCGCCCCTTTGATACGCAGTCTTTGGATGACGATTTTTCAATTTCATATGTGACGTAACTATGTTCCTTTGACAGTACCGTGATCGAGGTGCCGGCGGTAGCTTAGTGGTTAAGGTCGTAGCTCGACACGTTTCAGACCTCGGTTCGATTCTCCACACGGGTATAATGTGTAAAGCACATTCAATCCCCCGAACAATCTAGTGATTGACATCAGAAGCGTCAATCTACGCAATCGGGAGACGATGACATACATCAACCAAATCAGAGAGCCTGACCACCCGATCCAGTTACTCGCCTCTAACGAGAAACATGGGTTACTTAAGAATATTTCTAACCCGGCTCAGCCCAAATAACGAATGTTTCATCAACTTGACTACCCCAGCGAAATGGGAAAGTCTGTCTCACAGTCCTTGAACCACACTATTTCCCCTTCCGTCCAAGCCTTTCTGCATGCAAAAGCCATAAATGAAGCAAGTCTAGATTTACTCAGATTCTGAATCTCAGGTCGTTCGCTTTCAAGTCAAATGATAGTTGTTTCTATGACAATTATATATCTTCAAAGACTAAGCGTCAATTTACGTGGATGTCTAGCCACGAGTGTGACATTGAACTGTAGAGAGCGACTGCAATGTGTTGCTTGTTGTTTAGGCCTACCAGAGAAAACTTTCCCACTGTGCAAAAACGCAGAAAAGCCCACATTAATCGTGGAAATAGCAACATAAACATATAGTTACCTCGCTACCGAAACAGTAAAACGGCAACGAAAGACTATGAAACTGCAACATCACCGAACTTTGACCTCTACTGCGCATGCACGTTATACGATCCGAGCTTCTTTAAAATTTCCGAGCAACCGCGCAGAAAAAGTATTGAATATGTTGAAATAATTGCTGTCAATCATTTCATTCGAGTGGAAAGTAAACTAAACAAGTGTGCACACAAGTATGATGGGACAAATGCCAAATGTCAACATGCGGTGGAGACTTCCTCTTCCATGTGCGCATGCGCAAAATCTTCGTTTCTTGATCCAGTTTAGCGATTTAAAGATGCCGTTTTTACTGTTTCAGTAGCGAGGTGTTTATGTTGTTATTTCCACGATTAATGTGGGCTTTTCTGCGTTTTTCTGCACAGTGGAAAAATTTTCTTTGGTAGGCCTGTTAATGCCGCACTAAGCAATGCTTCAGCTCTATTACGGCGGGGCTGTGGAGTAGCATTGTGGTTAAAGCGTTCGCTCGTCACGCCGAAGACCCGGGTTCGATTCCCCACATGGGTACAATGTGTGAAGCCCGTTTCTGGTGTCCCTCGCCGTGATATTGCTAGAATATTGCTAAAGCACCGTAAAACGAAAACGGTCCTCTTCAAGTGAGTATGGTTTTGTGATGGCGAAAGGTATCGTAGGCACATTACAGTGTGTCAGGTTAATATGGAGGAACATTCAACAGTAGCACAAGTTTATGGTTTGGCATAAAAGTAATCGTAAGACATTACTGCTGAAAGTACAGTCCATTGTATGACTCCACATCATGACAGCTATCATGCTATTTCAGCTATATGGCGGCGGTCTGTGAGGTGAAACGTCGTGCTTGAGAATATTTCGCTCATATGACGACGTGCATGCGTGGGTATGTGTATGTGCGGCTGCTTGTACTAGCCCAGACTGAAGCTGGTTTTATAGTGCTAGCCCACTGAGATACCATGCCGCAGTGAAGCAGAAATACCCCACTCAGACACATTATACTGACTCCGAGCCGACCAGTCCTTGTTGTACCCAGTAATGCCGAGCGCCAGACAGGGACCAACAAGTACCATACTTTAACGTCTTTTTGGTATGACGCGGTCGGGGATCGAACCCGCGACCTTCCGCTCTCCGGGCGGACGCTCTAACCACTACACCACGGAGGCGGTCGGCGGCGGTCTGTAAATAATTGAGTCTGGGCCAGACAATCCAGTGATCAACAGCATGAGCATCGATCTACGCAATTGGGATACGACCACATGTGTCAACCAAGTAAGCGAGCCTGACAACCCGATCCTGCTTGTCGCCTCTTACTGAAGATCAGTTCTCATCCGGATCTTCACATATCCCTCCTGTGAATCCTGAAAGACCTATTGGATGCATCATTGAATGACGGTGTGACACTCCACTGGGTAACACGAGCCACATCTTTGTGAACAGTGGAAATCTTGGTCATTGAGCGAACATAACTGAAAACTCCCACCTCACCACTAACATGTAAATACGACATAACACATCATTATATAAACAAGCCTTAATTTTAATCATACAAACTTTTATTTCTAAGGTGTTGTGCCATACAATCACAAGATATTTCAAATAATGGCAGGCGTACTTCAGAAATACACATATACATGTAAAAAGAATATATTAAACTGCATGAAAATACAAATAAAAAGTTCAAAGATTTAACAGCATCTTACAGAACAATACAACCAAGACAGAGCATTACTAACTGTGTCAAACCTATTTGTGGGTTAAAAGACTTCGTGGTAATTTGTTATGCACTATCTAGGCACTATTGGGAGGATACAAGAACGGTAGCACCATGAAACACGTAAACGTATTACAAAATAGTTCTTCATTCAGTTTTGGAGATTCATACGCACTTCCGGTAATGTCCTTTCGCCGGAAGTGACTCAAATCATGAACGTTGATCTTTGATTTTTGGACTTACATTATTCATGAATCGTTGGTATATTATGGCAAATATACATGACGAGTATTTTCCATCTTTTCTTCAATTTGAAGAAAATCGTGCGTAGGTACTTAAGGACTCGACATAATTATGTTTGATTTCGTCCTGCTCCCTCACTCACTTTGAATGTATATCGAGGTTATATGGAATAGGGCTTATGGCAAGACTGCACGCTGAGCTCAGTGCACGTGCAAATAAACGCATGCGCACATCCCAGAACCCAGTTATAATTATTCATACTTCATTTAAAATATATATGTAAACAAAAAGGCTGATATTAACGGCAGGTAGCAATGTTATTATAAAATAAACCCTAAAGACGTGCTAGTTTCCTTAATTATTACAATTACATATTACCGATATAGCACACATCATTAAAATAATGTAATAAATTGAGAAACTTAGATACTAGTATATTTATTGTTAACATTAATTTCGAATTTCAAATCAACAGATAAGAGTTATATTGAAAAAGAATTAAATTACATTTCATAATATATATACAAAGGTATAAACTATATTGAGATCGTTGTATCATATCTTGTGTTACAGGAATACGTACATATTTTTGGCTTTCCAGATGTGGGTCTGTAATACAGATTTACGTTAAGTCGCATTACACAGTATCATAAAAGCAGCGGTTGTTGAATAAATACATTGCACGTGAGATTACTGCAGCCACATGAGATAAGGGAGGCAACTCTTGGTTTTCTAGACAGAAGTATTTAAGAGCTCAGCTGTCGTCGAATCTTGCTGCGCACGACCTGCAACATGATCAACTTCCGGGCGCCATATTTGTCTCCAAGGGCAACAATGGTACTCTTGTCATGGCTCATGGTGACGTGGAATTCATCGACCCCAGCGTTGAAGGCGCAGATTTCAGATCCGTTCTTGAGACGCCATAGGCGGATGGTTCCGTCACGTGAACCGGAAACGCAAATCTCCGAGTCGGGTGAGATCGCTACACACCATACCTGTTGTAAGAGGAATGAGTGAAATTGAACATTCTGGATAATCCGGGCAATCGAAATGGTGAAGTGTCAATCCAACGAACACTTACATAATTATTTAGCTTTTATAAAGACTGCTAAACATGGCTGCATCGCACGGATTGTGGAAATACATTCTTTGTTTGTTGTGTAATGCTACACAAAGCAATATTTCAGCTTTATCTGTAAACCGTGGAGTCGGGAACACGCAAACCAGTGATTGACATCATGAACACCCGTCTAGGCATACTATGACATGAATCAGCCAAGTCATCGTGCCACCAGAACCGGTTTGTCGCGTCTTTCGAAAAGCACGGGTTACTGAGATCCATTTTAACCCAGATCTTTATGGTCGACAGCAATATGTTGTTTAACTCGCTATTACTATACATGCCAAAACATTGTCATAGATTTTACCTGACATTTACAACAAATGTTACAGACTTTGCTGAAATAATTAAGCAGTGTTTAATCATAAGCTGCATGATTCCAAAAATGTATCTAGCAAATAAAATTCTAGGTCCTATTTGTTAATTAGTCAACTCGCTTCATTGTTCCCTCTTCATTGTGAAATAAGAATCTTTGAAGCTGGTGATACTTGAAGTTCCTGTGGCAAGGTTGCCAAAGTCGTCTAAGCCTGCACAATTACCTAAACAGAGGTTGGACTGACAGAAACCAACCACACACACACACACACACACACACACACACACACACACACACACACACACGTTTATTGTTTAACGCTGCACTCAGCAATATTCCAGCCATAAGGCCGCAGTCTGTAAATACTAGTAATTTAATCTGGACTAGGCAATCCAGTGATCAACACTGAGCATCGATGCCAGTCAACGCGCCTGACTACTCGATCCCGTTAGTCGCCTCTTACGATAAGCATGGGTTGCTGAAGACCAATTTAACCCGGATCTTCACAAGTGCATGTGCTACAGTACTCACCTCATCAGAGTGTCCAACCAGAGTGTGAATCTGCCTCTCTGTCGTCATGTCCCACACCTTCAGTGTGCCATCAGCAGAAGCCGACACCAGGTATCTGTTGTCGTCAGACAACGCCACGGCCTTAATCTCGCGGTTGTGAGCATGCCCACTTGCACCGGAAACCAACTGACGGCTAGCCTCGCCAGTGCGCAAGCTCCAAATAAACAGGTCACCATTACGCAATCCTGTAACGGCTTCGTCACGTGGTAAGATGGCCGTGCAATCAGGGTTGGCGTCGAAAGAACGGAAGATGGGCTCCAAAACATTGAAGCTGGTGATTGTCATATCAAACACAACATATTCGGTGTTATTGTCGACAGTAAAGCCTATCAACACGTAGCGATTGTTCTGAGAAAGGTTAATGTAGTTGACAAAGTCATTGTTTCCAATTGGGCAATCATATTTCATATGTTTAATAGGTTGGTTGCCCATGAGATCCCAGAGGACCACCTCCGTTCCAGATCCGTACTTGTCTGTGCGGGCAAAAATAACTTTGTCTCCGTCTCCCATGACGCACAACGCTGAACAGTATTCTTGTTCGGACATCTCTAGAGGACGTCCAGTGCTGAAGTCCCAGATCTGGATGAAAGGACAATAGAATTTAAATTACATCCAAATGTAATTCCTTGTGGAACAATCTACCATTTGAACTCAAAACAGCAAGCTCTCACAAATCCTTCCAGAACTGTCTAAAACTTTCCTGTTTAATCAAGCATATGATATGTAAATTATCTACCCTGTTCAGCGCCATTGAGCAGCTCAAAGTTGGAAAATAGGCGCTATACAAATTAATTATGATTATTATTATTATTATTAAATATCAAACCCTGTCATTCGTATTAACGTGTAGAAAAGGTGAATCTGCATGGGTACACCCACACTTTATATCAAAAGGCTAACAGTAAACAGTTATATACTTACTTACGTACCAAAGCGTTTGTAAAACCTACGTTAAAATGCACAGACAGCGATACTTAAGTTGAATATTTTTTTTAAATAAAATTTGAAACAAAAACAAATATGCAGTACATCCAGCCGTAATCTCGCGCCACAGACCAACACAAAATATCGTTGTATCAACCTGTATTGCGATAACCATTATGAAATGTATGAACCTCAAGTAACAGACAAAGTTAGATTTATTATTTTTAGTTTCGTATCACTGGGCTGTGCTATAACTACTGTTGCAAATTGTCGAATCATTGTGTTACAAGTCAAGACAAAACCAAAAACTTCAGAACATATTTTGTTCAAATGCAATACATATTTGATACAGGAACTTTATGCATAAGGGGATTAACGTAATATAATCATGAATCAGAATCGGAACCGTTTCCATTGGTGCCTGATAGTCTTGAAGCGTGTCCGTCTCCTTATCGACTGTGCAATGAATCCATACAATCCCAATGCAGTTCCGGCGTGAGAAATATTGCAAAATACGCTGAAAACGAACCCGCTTATACCGAAGTGACGGATATAACTACTATTTTTGTCCAGACCACTTGATGTATATTTAAATCGAAATTCATATAACGAAGTTCGGATATAACGAACTGTGCCTTTGAGATCGTTACAACCGTACTGTTCCGTAATTTCTGTTTGGAGTGGGAACCTCGAAACTCACCTGTAGCCTCCTGTTTGTGACTCCCTTGCCGATGGAAAAGTTGTTGATTTCAAGGTCGGCGTTCACGGCTCCAACCAACAGCCTGTCGTTGCAGGCCAAGTGTAAGTTTGTCGAGCCTACTGTATCTCCTTTCATTATACGTAATAGTTCACCACTCTGGAACAATAAATTGAACATGATGTATGAGTTTCACCTCATAGAAACATTGCTTCTATTGATCTACTGTCCGAAGAAGGGGTGTCTGAGTAAATTAGTGAGTGAGTATAGATTTACGCCGCTTTTAGCAATATTCCAGCAATATCACGGCGGGGGACACCAGAAACGGGCATCACAAACTGTACCCATGTAGGGAATCGAACCCGGGTCTTCGGCGTGACGAGCGAACGCTTTAACCACTTGGCTACCCACCGCCCCTGTGACTTTTAAGACGATGTAAATGTTTGTTTTCTCAGAACAATGATTAGGTCACAGCAAGGTTGTCTTCTATTAACGGTATCACAAAACTCAAACGTTTTAACCACTAGGCTACCCAACCGCACCCGGAGTAAATTAGAAAACCATCATTTGTGTTCTTCCTATATAACATGATTTTAGAAAATAGGTGTTCGAGTAACAAGGTTGAATTGTCTACACCTAAAACAGCTGACTTTGTGTGTTGGCGAGTAGGTGCCTGACTCTGAGGGTGTGGTTCGAATCCCGAATGGAACTTAACCCAACTAAAGTATGAGAAAGTGTAATTCCATATATACCATTTGTTATATTTGACCACTTTCTAAATGGCACTGTGCATTCATATTCCTGCATCTAATATATACTCCCCATCAAAGTTTAGTGTAAATGTAGCCACTTACTTCAGTCAACTGATCTAAACTAGATTTTGCAAAATATTCTATACAGTTTAAGGGTACTGTTTACACATGAACTGATGTATTGTAAACAAATTCGTAACGTTGAAAAGTGTATTGTCATGAGTTCAATAAATTATGAAACTCAGTGAAAATTGGCAAATTCTTAACAAAACTTTACACCAAAACGCAGCTGTTCACATGCACGATATTTGCACAATATGCTTTTCAGCAACTTGATGCATGATCCTCGTGCAATTCATCTGCACAAGGTTTGCAGTTGGTTCCCCCAAGTTAGTGGAGAAATCAGTCTTCGATGTAACCACATGTATATACATAACATATAGTGAGTGTTTTAAGTGAGTCTAAACTTTTGATGGTTTGTACATATACAAGTGAGGTGAGGTGAGGTGAAATTGGGTTTAACGTTGTGCTTGAGAATATTTCGCTCATATGACGACGTGCATGTGTGTGTATGTGTATGTGCGGCTGTTTGTACTAGCCCAGGTTTAAGCTGGTTTTATAGTGCTAGCCCACTGAGATACCATGCCGCAGTGAAGCAGAAATACTCCACTCAGACACATTATACTGACTCTGAGCCGACCAGTCCTTGTTGTACCCATTAATGCCGAACGCCAGGCAGGGACCAACAAGTACCATATTTAAACGGTATGACGCGGTCGGGGATCGAACCCGCGACCTTCCGCTCTCCGGGCGGACGCTCTAACCACTACACCACGGAGGCGGTCACATATACAAGTAATGTTTAGATACATTGCGCAGCCGGATGCACCTTCCACGGTTTAATGTCGTACGAGCGACCAAGGTTTAGGTTTAAGAAAAGCTTTGCATGTTTAATTCAGTTCTTGTAACACCTGGTCAATCCTGCTATATCAAGACTTGACAGGAATAGGCCAGAAGACGTGATAGCTAACAACGCTAGATTACAGTTAGTTTACGTGAAATTGGTCAAAGAGCACAGAGTTCAGGGCAGTTCTTAGTCCAGGTAAAGTCGACTCATGTATTCGGACAACACTCTGTTTCCAAAAGGTTTATCGACCACATACGTCTAGCAGCTGATACATTTTATAAAGACACAATAATAAATTGCACATATGCTACACTTTTCCCTATATATGCATCACTAAGAACCAGTTTCCTATTTTATTACTCACAAGTATTTCTTATTATTAATGAAACTTTGGTATGGGTAGGGGCAGCTGTTAAATGTATAAATAATTTCTTTTCTAGAACCGATTTTCTGGATACTGTGTTTCATTACTGGTATGCTATATATTACTGATTCTGTTTCGAGATTTTATGTGTGGTGTTGTTGGTGTATTTGTTATTTAACAACCCGTGAAGTGTTTAAACCAGCGTTCAGCCTCACTCACTCTTAAAAACAACCCGTGAAGATCCGGGTTAGGATTGATCTTCAGTAACCCCATTCTCTTCCCACAGAGGTTACTCCTGTCATATCTTCCTACGTAACCTCTGTTCTAATACGGCCCTTTCATTTAGTTGTGCAATCAGCGACGTTGTTTCAAAAGTGATCATTCGCAAGGCCTCGGTAATTTCCGTATACTTCGAGAAAACTAAACCTCTTCCCCTGCGCGATGCGCAAACGTTTCTTCTAGACAGAATTCAGTCATGTTATTGCGGATCAGTCGCGTCTCCATCGCCCTCGTTGACAACGGACAAGCTAGCCATTAAACGTCTTGTGTGTAACATCAATACAAGTCCCCGGCAGATGGGGGATATTTGTGGCCTCACATTTGCTTGTGTTAATCAAGTCGATGTAACACGTGTTCTGATTGGATAGAAAGAAGGGAGATAATTCGTGTTGCGATCTTTTGCCGCTAGCGGATTTTACGAGAACCGGGAAATATGGCCGTATTAGAACAGAGGTTCGTAGGAAGATATGACAAGTAACCTCTGTGGGAAGAGAATGCAGTAACCCATGCTTGTCGTAAGAGACGACTAGCGGGATCGGGTGGTCAGGCTCGCTGACTTAGTTGACCCATGTCATCGTATCCCAATTGCGTTGATCGATTCTCGTGTTGTTGATCACTGGATTGTCTGGTCCAGACTTCATTATTTACAGACCGGCGCCATATAGCCGGAATATTGCTGAGTGCGACGTTTAACAACCAAACCAATCTGAGACATCATGTTATCTTCCCAACACTTCTGTTTTGTTGTAAATTTGTTGGGGAGTTTTAAATTCGAAAATGCAAGAAAGATTGACATAGCGACACTGTGAGGAAGTGACAGATGCATTATTTACAGACCGCCGCCGTATAGCCGGAAAATTGCTGAGTGCGGCGTTTAACTACAAACCAACCAATCTTATATATACGTACCTGCATATCCCAGACCTGGGGTGGACCTAAGCTGGATCCGGTAACAACACTCCGCCCATCAGCAGTAATAAGACAACAGTCGACTCTCACTTCCTCCCCCCATCGCTCCAGGGGCCGCGGCAAAATTCGGTGATCCAGCGTATCCCATCATCTGTTGCTGTCCTGTAACTGTTTTCACACTTTGTACTTGGTAGTTGAAATTGGATGACATTGTCGAGGTAGAGTATCCGGCATGGCCCATGGTATTGCTTTGGTAATTTGCTGCCGATCCGCTTATTCCTGGTGCCATGTCGTAATCAGCCATGCCACCTTCATAATGGTATGACGATACTGAATTTCCACCATGAACGTTTGATGTTCCGTCAACTACTGACCGGCCCATTGTGTTTTGATTGTATGAATAGCCACTGGCTCCAGATGTTGTGGATCCGAGATTTGCTCTGGCTGGCTTGGGTGTTCCGATTGTGGTTCCTGAACTTGTGAATGTCTTTGTTGCTCTGAGAGTTGCAGAATCATAGCCAGCGCTTCCTCCTCCTCCTCCTCCTCCACCGCCACCTCCTGCTGATTGAGATGCGAAGTAGCTAGAGAAGGCAGCACTGGACCCACCACCAGCTCCGTGGGTGGGTGAACCGTTGACAATCTTGACCCCTCCACCACCTGCTCCGGCACCTGCGCCTGCGCCAGCGCCTGATCCGCTAAGGGCTTGGACAACACCAAGGTTATTGCCGGGTCTAGGTGGGGATATGGTTATAGGAGCAGCGGTAGCAGGACCAGCACAACCGCCGCAGTAGCCGGGCTTGCATCGATAGAAAGCCCACATCAAACTGCTCATCAAAGCCAAGATTCCAAGGACTGTTCCAACCACGACTCCAGCTCTGGGTCCTCCTGCTCCTAGAACTGGGGGTGCAGCTACTGCCGCTGCTGCCACTGGCTGAGCGAGAGGCCCTGTCATAACTCCGGATCCTCCTGTTCCTGATGGGAGAACGCCAATGCCGACACCTCCCGTACCTCCACCGCCGGCGCCACCGCCGGCGCCACCGCCACCGCCAGTCCACCCTGTTCCACCACCTCCAACGCCGGGTGGCACAAACGTGTCCGTAACTGGCGGACTGGGTGTGGGTGGTACAAATGGTGGTATTATGGGATTTGTAGGCGTGATCCACGTCGGGGGTCGTGGTGTTTGACTGTAACAGATACATAATAATAATGATAATATTCCTCATTATTAATAATAACATACAAGTATGATGGTACCTACATAATAACAGGCGACGTATGTAACCCACAAAAGGGACCATCAAGCATCCTGTGTCTATCCCAAATTGAATTATCAACTCCCCGAGGAGTATACCACCCAAGCTGCCCTTACGGTGATAATAAGAATAATAAATGTTTCTTGCAATTTTGTACTCGTCATTCTGTTGTGCGCCTGAATATGTGAAACTTGAAACAATATCAAATATGGTAGCAAGGTTGGCTCAGAGGCCCTATGCTGTGCCAGCATCTGGGGATGTGAAGTTCGAATCCCATAGTCTCCCTGCTCAAAACTCTTAATGTTTATTTAATACATTACCTTTGCTATTTGGTAAGAGTGCTATTGCTATTTGAGTGAGTTTAGTATATCCTAACAATATTTCCGCAGGTGACACCAGAAATGATGGTGGTGGGTAGCCTAATGGTATTCTAAAAATTGTTCGCTCGCCACGCCGATTCCCCACATAATACCAATACGGGATTCGAACCCGGGTCTTCGGCGTGACGAGCGAACGCCTAACACACTAAACTACCCCACAGCCACTTATGTTCGGAAGAGAGACAGCTGATACCTCAATAGAGGATGGCGATCAATACAGCCTTCGTGGTGATCATCATAGCCGTTAGGCTGATGAGAACGGTGTAATTGAAGACCATTCATACATAGAAAACACAGTCATTCCATATCCCACTTACTTAATGGTCAAGGTAAATGGTTTGGGGGCCACCACAACATCTCCCGACCAGAGGGTACTCTGCTTATTCGCCGCTTTATTCAAGACGTGCAAGCCATTGATATGGAGACCTGGTGTAGAGAAATGTTTGGAAATATATTAATCATTACACTGAGAAAATCACACTAAAAACACTAAAAATTTATATATTGCGTTGAAATTACGTTAAACTCATTAATTTTAATTCATTAGTCCATCCAGAGGATCGTAATCCAGAGTCAGATTATCGTTTACAGGGCTGGAAATAACTTTAAAATTGCTAGTGTACACCGGTACAGTGACACAAGTAAAATCACTTGCCCTGATCATTTTTCCACTATACTGGCCGATTTTCTTGTTGATTTTTTTAAATAAACAACATAATTAACACTGGAATGTCAACTTAACACCGGTAGAGTGTGATATACAAATGTTCTTGCCCGACAGAAAAATCACTTGACTCGGGCGTCGGGCAATGGGTTATTTCCGCCCCTGGTTTATGTTTAAAAGGTATCCAACGTTAATATCCTACCGGCAATAATGCCATTGAATGCACTCTTGGTTACTCCTTTCTCCTGGAAACCGCCAATATAGATGGTGCCTTGTTTGTCGAATAAACCATGTCGAGCTGAAAAAATAACATGAAACATTCATGCTCAGTGGAAAAAAATAAGATACCTTTATCGCGTTGAAATATTAATACAATTCACACCGAGTGCAAGTGAGTTAGAATTTAAATCGGCAGTACACCGAGATATTCTTACAACTAATCTCTGAAATGATCATATTTTACTGAAATAAAAGTTCATAGTAAAAATAAATATATACATATATATATAATGAAAAGGAGCCCTGAGACTTTCTTCATTTTCAGCTGTGGAAATCTAGACTTGCCACATTTTCTAGACTTGCGTGGGCTTTCTTGGATATATTTGCTTCAGGGTCTGTACGAGAGACTGACCGAGAGAGCAAGATGGCCGCTGTGATTGACGTTAAAGTACGCCGTGATATAGCACTCGCTCACTCACTCACTCACTCACTCACTCAGTACAATACTTACAAGAATGCAGGATGGTCTTTCCAGGTAAAGTGTCCACGAACAATGTGGCGTTATTGCTGGTCCTCAAGAAGCGAACCTGGTGATACTTTCCGTCATTTAACCTCCGGGATGACTGGACAATTGGCTGGGGATTTCCGTTAATGTCCGTCAGGTATTCGGCAACAACGTATCCATCTTCCTATAAAGGGATTGAAAATCTGCATCAGTGGTATTAATGCTCAGTATGCTACGAACATGTTTATTTAAATATTTAAAACATTACATACTATGTCTTACCTACAGTAAAAAAAACGTTTAAACGGACAAGCCTATAACGAGCATTCAGATATGACGAACATTGTGTTGGTCCCGGCCACATGCCTATATCGAACTTTAACTAATGGCCCATTTGAGTTCGTTATAACCGTAGTCGACGTATTCGGTGATTGATAGTCACAGCAACGATCCGTGACATTCTTCAAAAGGGTAAGAGCCTATTCTTGGTGTCCCAGACACAAGACGTGGGCATACTGTAACACTCATTCTTTGAATTCAGTCATTCTGTTTTTCGGCACGGGCGGCACTGTCGTCTAAGGTGCTTTAATAATCTGAGCAGGATTGCGTCCCTTGAACACACCAGGATACTGTGATCGTGGGTTTCACCAAATGGTAAACATCTGAGACAATGGTCACTTTAGGCTTTCTGTCCATGTCAAGCTGACTCGCCGTCAATTCAATTTAACATAACTACCCAATTAAGACAGATTTTACCGACGCCAAGAAGAGTCCCAGGAAGGAGAAAAGTACCTCAACCCAATCCCCTAGGCTTCCAACCGCCGACTTTCCGGTCTCCAGGGATACACTCGATCCATTGCTGTGCCATTAACACACAACAGATCCATGCGTCTCAAGCAGTTATACAATCATGCATGTGTGATTGCTTTTTGCCATTAGTGAACCCAGACAAGGTTCTTATTGCGCCATTCAGTATCCAGGTTACGATGGCGCTAGAATATTATGGTTATAAAAGTATGGTAAAATCATATTGATTATGGTAAAGAAAACTTACCAATCGCAGCTCAATAAAATCATCCAGGTACTGACTCTTCACTCGCATGAGGACACCGTCCTTCTCATACGTCATAAAGCCGAGGGCGATGTCGTCGTGCATGGTGCTGGGACGCTCGAGAGGAGGATAGGTGTATACCAGTATCCCAGGCTTATTATTCTCCATGAATCGGAATCCTGTAGCCTCTGAAAAATTAGGTACATTATTGGAAACAATTCCTCTAAAACTGAAAATATCGTACTGTCAATGTTTAGAATAGAGAAAAGGATATCTGTAGCATCAACTCCATTAACCTTTATTGAATGGCTATACTTGGGGGAAAACAGATATCCTTTTAGAAACAGGTTGACTGATTTTCCTCACACCAATATACGACTGATTCATATCATTGCAATTAGAGGGCATTGGTGTAGTCTAGTTTTTAAAGCGTTCGCTCGTCACGCCGAACCCCGGGTTCGATTCCCAACAAGGGTACAATATGTGATGCTCATTTCTGGTGTCCCCCCCTCCCCCCCCCCCGCCGTGTTATTACTGTAATAGTGCTAAAAATGACATAAAACGAAACTCACTCATCCCAATTAAAATTGAAATACGTGTTAACGTTTTATAAACGGCTACAGTGTAAGGCCCATTAACGTACCTTCAGTACAGATAGTTCCAATGTATGACGTCATGTTGCAGTCACAGAAATAGCGATCCCCTGCAGGTATACAGACACCGAAGTTCTTGCAGGAGTCGACCAGACAAACTTCATTTATAACATCTGGAAAGACAAGATAAACACAACTAGACACAATCCTCACTAATGATTATAGGTTATAGGAGGAACATCCATATGAATAGCTTAAAAGTCGATATTTGTAGTTTTGCAGTGGCACCGTTAATTGGAGACAATCTTGAAGTGGCTACATCATTGTTTTGAGAAACCACGCATTTAGATCGTCTTAAAAGTCACAAGGCGTTAATGTAGTCCATGCAAACGGGGTTTCCTTGCGGCCATCTAGTCTGGCTCACACTCCCTGAACCAACTTCATCTTCCCTACTGCCTAACCCTCTCTGCAATGCTAAAGCCCTAAAATGAAGCAAGCCCAGATTTCCTCAGGTTCCGAATTCTGGTCTCCATGTGCCTCCTTTTCAATTTAAATGGGGTTAGATGTTACTATCGTTCGAGTAACAGGCGTACGGGTTACAAACATTCGAGTTAGACATTCGAGTTTCAGACGATTTTGTTACAGACTTTCGAGTTACAGACGTTCAAGTTAGTGGAGCTCGAGTTGCATACATTTGAGTTACAGATTTTTGGGCTACTGGAGTTTGAATTACAGGTCACTGGTTTTCGCGTTACAAACGTTCGAGTTAGTAGAGTTCGAGTTATAAGGTATCACCGAGATATCACCAACCTGTACAGCCACTTATAACGTTGGGGTTCCCTCTGGAATATTTCAGAAGGTCGGGAACAGCACCACTCATATCGATGGAAGCCAGACATCCCTGGAACCCAGTCTTGGACAGGAGAGCCTTCATTATATATTCCTGCGAGAACAAATTATTTGGTAAACCGCCGATATAGAGAGGCCCCTGAAGATCCAGCCGCCCATCCGCTGTTTCACTCCCAAGCGTTGACCTGTATTCATCCACTGAGACAGTAAAGCTCTTGCCGTCTCCATTACGTCGGAGAATAACTTGATGCCATTTATTATCATTAAGAGACTGGGGAGTGCTTATCCTCAAGGCAGATGCGCTATCGCTTGTGTTAAAGGTGAAATGCAGGTATCCATTATACAGCTCCAGGGCGATGAACTCCCTGTTAAGTCCGCCATTGAACAATATGACTCCACTCGACTCTTGGGTCTTGAACATAAACGAGAGCACCATTCTCGGGGGAACTCGCAGAGTCTCGAGCTGGACGTAGGTATTGCGAGATGTGACAGTAACAGGGTTGTAGATGAGGGGAGGAAGTTGTGGGATGGTGGAGATGGTGAAGTTCACGGTGCCTGCCCCCATCCTCTGAAGCTCATTCAGAACGTCTATTTCATTAATGCGGAAGTTCTGCATGTATCCGATGTAGTTCGGGTAATTCTTGACGTTGATGTCAGAACCCTTTAGACTTCCCAGATATATACGCTCAATATCGAAGAAGAAATTTTCGCCATTGAGATTGCCTGCAATCAAAAGAATAATGTGTGAAGACTGATTTTGTGTAGACTACTAATTCAAACTAAATAATTGGTTTAAACAACCACATGTCTAATCCCCGAGTGATTAGTAAAATTATTACTGAACTGCAATTAATGATTTTCATGTATTTTCATACCATGCATTCAGTTTTTCTCTCCACTAAATAATATATATGTGTCATTACAAGGTTACATACAAACATTATACGTTTTTTCTAAAAAAATAATTCCTTAACAATATGAACAATGCTTAACAACGGAACACAAACAGAAGGCAACAACAGAAAAGAACGTTGGCCTGCAGTATGATGAAGATGGTGCCGAGCAGTAGCTACAGTGATATTTGACATGAGCGGATTTTTATAGTAGTTCTTTGACGAATGGGAATGGATTGTTTGGTCGCAGCTGCCAGTGTTTCACGAGTTGTCTCCCTTAGAGTTACAATTACATCGATAAGATTGTGGTATGATGCCTTGAAAACTACAGGCTGTCTGATACACTGCGTATTTAAACACTGAATCATGAAAACTTACGCTTTTTAAATGTTATACCTCAAGAAAGTTGACATCTTAACAACGCCCTACCGAGCTGACCTCTTAACAATGTCTTACCGAGTTGACTTCTTAACAATATCTTACCAAATTGACTTCGTAATAATGTCTTACCGAGTTGATGTCTTACTCCACTTACCGAGTTGAGACGGAAAATCATCCACCCAGAGTTCTATCTGGTTTCCACGACGACGAATGTACAGGTTGTGCCAGTCGAGGTCATTGAGACCTTCACCTGCGTAGTACCTCTGAAACGAAAAGAAGCGTTTGGTCAATTTCTCCCTCAATTGTACACTGACCGGTTCACCATTAGCAGAATATTCTGAACTATATTGTAGTGGAATGTTTCAACAACATCTTTTTATATTAGAATATCCTTCAACATTACGTGAAGGTTTCTTTTCGCGAGCCTCTGTTAATATTATTGTTACTTACAGTGAGTGAGTGAGTTTAGTTTTACGCCGCACTCAGCAATATTCCAGCTCTAGGGCGGCGGTCTGTAAATAATCGAGTCTTGACCAGACAATCCAATGATCAACAGCATGAGCATCGATCTGCGCAATTGGGAACCGATGACATGTGTCAACCAAGTCAGCGAAACTGACCACCCGATCCCGTTAGTCGCCTCTTACGACAAGCATTGTCGCCTTTTATGGCAAGCACATGGGTTGCCGAAGACCTATTATACCCCGGATCTTCACGGGTCCTGTTACTTACAAACCCGTGAAGATCCGGGTATAGAATTGGTCTTCAACAACCAATGCTTGTTACTTCCCTTGAATGTCATTTTACAGTAAAATCGTCTTCACATTCAAAGTTTTTTTAGAATTCAATAAAATCTTGGACCCCGGATAGATAAATGACGAACAATAAATAAAGGCCAAATAATCCTTCTCATGTTCAAAGATACTCTGTGATTCATCAGTCAAGAAACATGTTAATAAGTACACCATAACTTCGTGTTTGTGTGATGAAACATACATTGTTGTTCTCCCGCTTTTATTGACAGAACGAAAACTTAAAAGTATATTTTCGAAAGTAAACGTAAACGTACATTAACTGTAAACTAGATCGCCTGTACGAACAGGAAGTTTAAGCCTCTGTTCATGAACTAACGCAAAGTCAAATGCCTTCAGATCTATTAAATATTACACGCATTTTTCAAGTGTCGTATCCAAATTCTGTCGCGACAAAGTGGTACAATCCAGCGTTTGTTTTAACGATAAAAGTTTTGATAAAAATAAACAGTGTAATTTATACCTTCACTACACCTCCGAGGTTAGTGGTGACCTTGATGCGTCCATCTTCCAGGATTCCCCGGAGATACTCGTCCGATTCCCCTGTATAGGTCTGGAAGAGGAAGGCGTTGCTGAGGGGGGTCTTGAAGCGGAGAGACAGGTCATTGGTGTGAGTGCCTAATGAGAGAACTGGCAGGTGTCCGAACTGCTGACCGTTCAATGATCCTACTAAGGCAGCTGCAAAACAACAATCATAATAACATTAATCATAATAACAACAATCATAATAACATTAATCCATAAAAATATCTTGGACATCAATGTACAACTTCTAAATGCCACTGAAAGACAACAATCATATGTTAGAATCCTCGACGTTCACAAATCAGCAAATGAAAAACGGACGATGTTTATTAGAACTGGTTTACATTCGAATACGACCTGTACATCATAATCATCCTCCAAAATAATTCTATTAACACAATTTGATCTTTCGAAATGGAGCATTTTTTTATAGACGTATCGATTGATTACGTACGTGCTTTTAACGTGCTTCTCAGTGTGCGTATATATATATATATATATATGTTTACGCTAAGGAAGATAGCTATATTTGGTTACCTATGTCACAGTTCTTGCCGGTGTAGGCGGTGTTGGAGCAGTCGCAAACATAGCCGTTCCAGGTGTCTCTGCATCCTCCATGCACACAAGGCATCTGGTTCAGCTGACACTTTCGGGGCATCGCAAGGCATTGACGGTCAACGTTACCGAACACGTTCTGGGATACGGCCAACTGGTGGAGATCAAGCCTCTTGCGGTCGATCTTGAAATCTTCAAAACATCCTTGATAGCCATCCCGGGACCAAATATGCCAAGGGAGACGACTGCTTTCCGCGAGGTTATTGCTGTATGTTGTGTACCCTCCGAGATACAAAGCGCGCTGGAACGCGATGGGAAGTCCTTCTCTGCTGTTCAGATCAATCCTCTTCTGTTTCCCGTCCAGCATCAAAATGATGTAGTTGTTGTAGAAACGGACTTCAATAGAGTGTTGTTGACCGTCCGAGACGTCACGTTCTGAAAACTGTATTCGGTGAGCGACGTCGCCGAAGTTGTACACGAAGTAGAGTTTGCCGTCGTACATTTCAACAGCGAAGAAGGCCCCTGGTTTCCGTGGACTCCCGTAGGTATACAACATCAACCCTTTTTCTTCGATAGTCTGGAATTTGTATGACATGATCGTCCCGTCGTTGATCTGGACTCGAGGCAGTTCGAGACGGACGCTGGATGACCTGAAAGTTATGGGCCCAGGGCCGATAGGTCTTGGCTTAGGGGTGGCAGGGGGTCTCGTAGTACGTGGTGGGTAAGTCGGTGGGCTTACTCTGCCAATGGTTCCATTCACAAAGCGAACGGGTCCATGGATGCTCGCTTTTCCTTGTGAGATAAGATTCACGTAGATGATTTCTTGAGGCGATTTTGTAGTGTAGAGGACCTTGGCTATGCCGCCATTCAGTCCCCTGTCCACCAGTCCACCAGTGACGTCAGTTGGGTCATGGTGACCCCCTAGGTACACATTCGACCGGGTCAGAAAATGAAGGTTTCGACTTGATTGTGGAAGCGTGTAACGAGCCCTGTGATTATTGTCCACTTTGATCTCAATCTGCGTAAAAAAATATATAGTAATACACATATAATATATGCACTTTAAAAAGGCTTGGAGTGATTGACAGAGTGTTGTTTTCCGTCGCTATTATATTCCAACAATATCACGGCGGGGAAAACATGTTACGGTTTTCACGCATTTTTCACATATGGTAATCAGAACTTAGTTTCGGTGGGTGTGACGAGTGAACGCTTCATCTACTAGGCTACCCCACAGCCGTTAAACAAGCTTGGGAAATAACACGAAATAAAAATAGATTAATATGACACAAGCGTTTGGTTTGATGAAAGCTAAAAGCACAAATGCCAAAAGCCAGTGTCAACCAAAACGAAATTGTCAAATTTCAAATTCAATATACATTTTGTGTGACGGAGTTGACGCACATTTTTCATTGTTTCGTTCAAACTGCGGCATGAAGCGCTAAAATAGGCTCCACACTTTTTCATGTGGGGAATCGAACAGGTACTTCTTAGTGACAAGCGAGCGATTTATCTATCGGCCTACATATTGTAGAATGGACTTTACTTACGTCTCTGCCTATTCTGGAAATATTGACAAAGTGCCAGGACCAGTCGTTGAAGCGGGCACCATTTTGCGGTCTGATCATCACCTCCTGTGGGCCGTAAGGATCCTGGTCGTTGACGTAGCGGAGATATCCATCCTGCAATACGGTTGCGCAATCAAAATATCAAAATTTCATTTGAAGCCGGAAACAGACAACATATATTATGAACTCAGAGACACAGCAACTCCTGAGAATTTTTTTAAAAATGAGACAGTTGAGAAAGTCGATTTATCACTATTTGAAGCTAACTTCTCCTGAATTGTGACGCACGCGCACGCGCACACACAGACACAGAGAGAGACACAGAGATACATACATACATACATACATACATACATACATACATACATACATACATACATACATACATACATACATACATACATACATACATACATACATACATACATATCAAATAACATCACAAACAGGCGGCTAACGGGATCGGGTGGTCAGGCTCGCTGACTTGGTTGACAGATGTCACCATGTCCCAAAAGATCGATGCTCATGCTGTTAATCACTGGATTGTCTGGTTTAGACTCGATTATGTACAGACCTTCTCCGTATAGCTAGAATATGGCTGAATGTTGCGTTAAGCAACAGACAAACAAATCATAAACAGGAAAACATAGGTATTGAGTCTGTTACCTTCATGCTCATGTACATGACACGGTCCGGGTCTTCTTGGAGCCAGACAAGACCATTCTCCTGGTCAGTGAGAAAGTAGAAGGTTATCTCTTCCTCGTTTGTCTGTCGGATGAATTCTGCTGGAAGTCTGGCAAAGTCGTAATTGACGTAGCCGTTACCAGTGAGTCTGATGATAGTCGTTTGTCCATCACTTCTAACTCCATTGTCTCCAATTATACGAGGTCTCTGGCCACCAGTAACGGCTGCAACAAAAAAAAAAGATATTTCATTTCCAAAAATTAGTCACTTCAGATATCTTAAGCGCTGTACTTCTTCAGTTTTACTCCCCTTAGCCATACCGCGATCCGCTGATTCTGGGGTTGAATCCCAGATTCGCACGATCCTGATCTTTTACCTGTCCCTTTGTTTCGTCAGGGTGTTCAACCAGCACTACTGTGTATCCTTTAAGTAACGGAATGACATAACTCGAATTCTATCAAAGCCATGCCGTGATTACCCATCTCACTCACTCCAAAGAAAAACAAAAATATCCATGTGCTGTCACTTTGGTTTAAGATGCAGAGGAAGAGATTCTTAACATGTTTTCTTCACATACCCACTGGTATCTGAGACTGAAACTGATTTTCATTTCCCGTTGGAACATAACAGCAGCAGATATAGCAAATCCCATTTAAAAGACAGCATAATAGACGCGCCATTGGAGATATGATTCTCCCCGACAGTTATAGCTTAAAGTATATCCTGTTTTGTTCTATTCGTCTCTACTCTTATTCCACTTATACTCATGTCAAGGTCAGATATGTGCTCTCATATGTAGGACTGTAATATCATCCTTGTCAGTTAAAGCTTTTAAGGGGCGGTGTGGTAACCTAGTGGTTAAAGTGTTCGCTGGTCACGCTGAAGACCCGGGTTCGATTTCCCACTTGGCTACAATGTGTAAAGCCCATTTCTGGTGTCGCCCGTCGTGACATTGCTGGAATATTGCTGAAAGCAGCCGCAGAACTAAACTCACTCATTCGCTCACTCACTCAATCAAGGTTTAAAGTGAGAAGGCTATATGCCGCTTTCAACAGTATTCCAGCGAGATCGTAGCTGGGTACACCGAAACTGGCTTCACATATTGTACCCATGTGTGAAATCGAACCCGGGCCTTTGGCGTGACAAGTGCACGCTTTCGCCACTACACTACCCCACTGTAATTAATGGAACCTTTATGTTCAAATAAAGATTCCTGTTTCCTGATCAACCATCCACAGAGTCTTGCCTTTGCTATTTGCTTTTTCCATCAGTGTACGACGTACATATGGTCAAAATAGTACAAACATGCAGTAAATATCGGTTTCGTTTTATATGTAAATGAGCGAATATTGTGTTAAGTTGCGATCATTGCTCTATTAACTATATTAACCTGATCTTTTTGTTGATTCCATTAATTCATGTTTACGGTTTTGCAATGATGAACTCTGGAAATGGGAAAAAGTACTTTCGCATACTTTATTTTTAGGACATCACAGATGATTTCTATTTATTACTAAAACACAAATGTCCTTTAGAATGTTCGTCAAGGTACGATATAACACCAACGATGGAACATTATAAATATCTAGATTAATTGTTATAATAATTATACGGGTAGGGGATTGAGATATGTTTTCTACATTCATCAACAGGGTAGATAACTGCTTCTGACTCTAATACACCTCTTTCAAATTGTACTTCACCATCAAAGTTTAAATCGAGCATAATAACATCATATAACTCAGCTCCACTGTACTTTTCTTACGGTATTAGTAAATTTAACATATTACATACTCAACTACGTCATGAAGCTAGTAGATTAAGTTACGATCTGTACAGAGTAGGGCTAACCACTGATCCATCCTGCGCATGTGGAAACCCATGCGAAAATGCTCATCACTATTTCTTAGAATGTTCTTTACACAATCAACATAGAAAGATCATGCTTAAAGCTATTCAAGATGTATGTGGTAGTAATTCTGTGATTACATTATCTGTTATTTTAAACGGCATTGCAGATCTGATAAATCATAAAAATGAAATTATATTCAAAAATGTACATCAATATATGTGCTAATCTAAACGATTCCAGTAGTATTCTCTCTATACACCTTTTGTATTATAGCATTTCCCCCCTGTTATCTTTGAGTCTTTCTCTGTCTCTGTTTCTAATAATTGCTTGTGATGTAATTAGTTATTGTAAATATCTTCGGAGAGGGGTTTAATAAGTTGAAGGCACTTGTCCCCGACCCTTTTAACATTGTGAATAAAATATGTTTAAACTAAACCTCTTACACCATGTGATAGTGAACTAGGTCCTTAACATAGGATGAGAATTGATATTTTGAACACACTTATGAAATATCCAGAGATGACGCCCTTGACAATGAATGCATGATAAGTGTTTCTGATCTTATTTCAAGAGGGCTAATGTTCATCAGGAAGTACTTAAGAATTACGCATTTCTAAAAGTTGTCTCTCGACGTTTTCACACTATAGGTACTCTAGTTAAAGGGGGGCATTGTGTTAGTTATTTTGCTTGCTTGTTGTTAAGCGCCGCAGTCAACAATATTCTCTCTAAATGGCGGCGGTCTGTAAATAAATGGCCCTAGACCAGACAATCCGGTGATTAACATTATGAGCATCGATCTACGTATTTGGGACACGATGACATGTGTCAACCAAGTCAGAGAGCCCGATCCCGTTAGTCGCCTCTTACGACACGCATCGGTTGCTGAAGACCAGTCCTACCCCGGACCTTCAGGGATCAGAGCATCGAGGTGTTGAAACTCTAGAAGCTGCAGTTATTTCCAAATACAAGGGATCATAGTCTTCTCAAAACTTTCAATCCGTAGCAACATTCAACCCATATCGGTAGGTTGATGGTGCTTCAACATTCTTACCCTGGGTAATGGATCAGCTTCTTGGGGAGTCTACTTAGACAGGAAGGTGTTGTGTGTAACAACACTAGGCTGTTTGAATTAACATTTGCATAACCATTCCACACCTGAGTTCGCATGGAGGACATTCAGGTAAAAAAACAACGTTATTTATTGAGCTGGTTTGGTGGGAGAACTAGTAAGATAAGATAAGATAAGATATTTATTGCATTGCATTCCATGAAGAAACAGTGACAATATTCTATAAACTACAAAATAAATAATCACCTTTGTAAGTTGTCCATTCATACAAGTTTCACCACTATTTTTCCTTTATACCCAGTGAAATCTGTTTTGACGGATAATCGAGACTGATTATTCTCTGACGTGGACGTCATATAACTGCATTAATAGATATATACATGATTATAGATCCAAGGGAAATTGTTGTTTGGAACATACTTTCATTGTGCTTTGTATTAAACCATTGGCATTGTCTGTCATGTAATGCTAAATAAACTGTTCCATCAATTTCAATCAAAGTCTTGAAGAAACACTTTTCCTCCATACCTCACAGAGAGTTTGACATCAAACCACCGCTCTTAATTACAAGTCTCCATATAATTTACAGACTCAGATGTATACTTGAAATCATTGTCTTACACAAAAACGTGAATCTGCGACAACGTGAGGGTTAAATAGGCGAAACTACACAGAAAATGGTGACGTCACGGTTCTGCCCTTATGTGCGGATCACGTGACGACGGCCATCTGGATCTTGTTATGGGGCTTATCGTTTCTGCTGAGTTAGAGGAGACGGCTTCAGCTGTCGTCGGAGAAGCCCACCTTGCCTTATATGAATGGATAAGCTGAGTTCGGTGTTTAGGAAGCACGACATATACGGCGTTGAGTTGAGTCAACAAACTACGAGCACCTTGCGCCGGTCATACCTATAGGGTTCTCTGTTACAGCACTGGCGAATGTCAGTGAATATCACGTGTACCTTTTTAACATGACATATATATATATTTTTTAATTTGATATTATATTGTATCAAAACCACACGTGTATGATCCTATTTGTGAATTGTGTTGTAATGTCAGGTCGGAAAGATCTTCGGAAAGGCTCTAATATAATTACAAAAGTTCCCAAAGCATTTCCTTGGCCTTGGCTACAATATCTATATTGAACGTTTCTTAAGATATAATTGTTGATTTATTTCTTTAAAGATTCGAGTTTATTGTTCTTCCTTATTCATTTATGGAAGTGAGTGAGTGAGGAAAATAGTTTACGCCGCAATATTCCAGCAAGGGACACCAGAAATGGGCTTTACACATTGTACCCATGTGGGGAATTGAACCCGGGTCTAAGGCGTGACGAGCGAACGCTGTAACCACTTTGCTGTCTGAATATAATAATACTATGATAGAAACAAATACTTCCTTATTAAATTTATAAGGAGCCCTAGTGAGAAGGGAGGTTCAGAATATGAAATCTAGACTTGCTTCATTTAGGACTTTAGCATTACAGGAATGGCAAGGCAGTGGGGAAATAATGTGGTTCAGGGACTCTGCCACAGGCTAGTAGTGGGGAAGCGCCAGTATTTGCATGGAGTCGCAGCAAGTCTATGTATGGTTGCCTGGGATGGAGGAGGAACGCTGTGTGTGTTTACTTTACACGACTCAGTCTGACACGAACGCGTGACCTTTGGTCAGAGCAGTAAAACACACACAAGATGGCTTCCTGTAAACATAGTACTTCCTTTGCATCTCTGACCTACTACTTGATCAACACTGACACCATGGACTGGTACCATGTTTCAACATCGTCGACATGGTTACAGCTTCAGTGTCAAATTGCGAAACAGATACACCGGATCTCAAATATCATCATCATCAGCAGCAGCAGCAGCAGCATCACCATCATCACCATCACCACCATCATCATCAGCAGCAGCAGCAGCAGCATCACCATCATCATCATCATCATCATCAAACGCGCTTGTTTTGTTGAAATATATCTGGTAATATATCTTTCACATGCAGATATAATAGCAATAATCTGGTACCATATATACAACTTCAAACAAATTTAGAAGATCTCTAGATTGTCCTTGGTCATTACATATTTCTACTAGCATTTGTATTGTTACTCTGACTTATTATATATCTTGTTTACGTAGTTTATAGAATATTGTCACTGTTTCTACATGGAATGTTTGCGCAAAAAATATCCTGTATCTTGTATCATAATGATAACGGGCGATATTTTGCCTAACGTCATAACACATATTTTCCGATCTTCTGTCTTTAAACAAACAAGCACCACCTAATATACTCCTTTCC